GCGTAGCCGCTACATGAAGCACATTGTTCCCCTCCGCAAGCAGGTACGAGGCGTCGTCGTGTCTCAGGATGCGATGACAATAGTGTACATATCCCATCTAGGTCGAGTACGACAAGAAAGAGCGAGCGATGGTCGAAAACTCGGTGCTCATGTTCCTTACGGGCGCGCTGCGTAACTATGGTCTTTGCCTCCGGTACGCAAACACGTCGGCAAGGTCGTTGTGACGCAGCGTCGTCATCCTCATGTAGGTACGCGCCGGTGGCCGACATGACACCCGTCTTCCGCATCGTATCGCTCTGGTTTGAACACGGTGCGGTGGCGGCCGTGACCGAGGAGATGGCGACGATCGTCGAGACGGTCCCGTCGTACAAGCTCTTGCCGCTCTCGTACCAGATTCTGTCGCGCCTCGCGTCCAGCGTCGCACTGCCCCACTTCCATACCGTTCTCGAAGCGCTCGCCCTCAAGATGGGCGTCGACCACCCGCACCACACGATCGTGCAGCTCTTGGCGCTCAAGAACACGGGCAAGCAAGGCAGCGTCCAGTTCCGCGACAACGTCGGGTCGGGCAAGCCCGAAGCCGCCGCGCGGATCCTCGCCCAAGTGCAAAAGCACAGCAGCACGAGCGCTGAGCTCGTCCAGAACATGGAGGTGCTCTGCGACGCGTACGTCAAGCTCGCGCTCTATGACACGACCGAGTTTGCGCGCAAAGGCGTCAAGAAGATTCCGTGCGCCAACGTGGTCATCGGCCCGCACAACGTGGCGTTTGACCAGTGCCTGCGCCTGCGCCGGCTCAACCAAGACACGCAGGCGCGGCCGGCGGTGCTCACGCTCTCGATCGCCCCGCGGTCCGACCGCGACTACACCAATGTGCCCCGGGTGCAGTCGTTTGAGGGGACGTTTACCATCACGGATACAGGTACACACACGTCGCAAGGCATCTCACTTTCTGCTTTGACGGCATCGTGCAGGGATCCACCGGCCCAAGATTCTCTACTGCTTTGGCTCGGACGGCCTTCGACGCAAGCAGCTCGTCAAGGGCAACGACGACACGCGCCAGGTACGGGGATGGTGGCGTGACAGGGTCGAGCGACGGCAACGAGGATGTAGGATCTCGTGATTGAACAGACGTTCGAGATGGTCAATACGTTCTTGGCCGAGCAGTCGGCGACCAAGCAGCGCCAACTGCACATCAAGACGTACAAGGTACCGACAATTCTCTTGTCGTGGGTGGTTGAATGTGTGGCAGGTGACGCCGCTTGGACCGATCGCGGGTGTCCTCGAGTGGGTCGAGAATACGCTTCCGATTGGCAACTACCTCACAAGCCGGGGCATGGACGCCCATGGGCGGTACCACCCGAGTGAGTGGAAGCACCCGAACTGCCGCCAGCACCTCATGCGCGCGACCGACAAGTACCAAGCCTTTCTGGAGATCCAAGCGCACTTTACGCCTGTCTTTCATCACTTTTTCCTCGAGAAATTTCCCGATCCGGCCAACTGGTTTGTGACATGTGGCGATTCCCACAATGTATTTTGAGTTGTTAGGTATGCCAAGCGCGTCGCGTACACGCGCAGCGTCGCCGTCACGTCGATCGTGGGGCACATTTTGGGCATCGGCGACCGGCACTCGTCCAACATTCTCATCGACGAAGTGACGGGTGACTTGGTCCACATCGATTTTGGCGTCGTCTTTGACCAAGGTTGGACCTCGTTCATATGTCATGTTTGTTGATATCGTCGAGGCTAGGGATGGCGCTGCAGACGCCAGAGACGGTGCCGTTCCGGCTGACGCGGGACCTTGTCGACGGCATGGGCGTCACGGGTGTCGACGGGCTTTTTATGCGGACGTGCGAAGAGACGCTCAAGGTAAGCGCGGTGGAGGTACAAACATGACGCGTGGTGGGTAGGTCTTGCGCAAGAAGGGCGCGGCGTTGACGACAATCCTGGAGGTGTTTATCCACGACCCTCTCTACAACTGGACGCTCTCGCCGGTCAAGGCACTCAAGATGCAGCAAGAAAGTCAGCTCTTGCTGCACAAGAAGAGCGACGACGTCATGCCCGAAGAGAACGTCGCCGACGCTGCATCCCGCGCGCTCCTCCGCGTCAAGCAAAAGCTGCAAGGGTACGAGGACCCGACCGGCGATGCGATGAGCGTCGAAGGCCAAGTCAAGCGCCTCGTGCACATGGCCCAGGACCCGCACAACCTCTGCAAGCTGTACCCGGGCTGGGCCCCGTGGCTCTAAAAGACTGCGACAGAATTGAAAACCATTGGTTTGTATCAAGTTGATACGAACGTCGGACCAGACGACGACGTGCGGTCTGGGGCGTAAGCGAGAGGCAGCGACGGCCGATACGAACGTCGTAGACACCGTTTAGGATGCACACGGTTGGCAGACGTTTGATGACGGACACTCCGAGCCGGGTGTCCCGACGCACGTCGCACCCGAGCTTGCTTTGTTGGCGCTCAAGACCCAATGGCGATGATCTACTGCGTCGTCCCGGCTGCTGGAGCGTGTAGATGCCGAGGCGTTTGTTTTCGGACTCAGCGCAGGTCGCGGCAAGTGTGGCCGGCGCCAAGATATTTATGAAGATACCGGTTGTGGCCTGGATCGACGCTGTCGAGGCCGCAGCACCCATTTGTTTGAAAAGTGCATTGGGATACTACTCGGTGGAACCCACGCAATTTGATGCGCGGAGAGTTGTATCGAGTCAACGCGATCTAGTCGCGTGATCCCTATCCCTAGTCGTTTCAAAGATTGACCACGCGGAAACGATCAGTGTCCATCTTTCTTGGAGCTGACTGGCCACTATCTATAATACAGCTGGTCAAACATCGAGAAAATAGACATCGAGGCGTGCGAGACGCGAGCGCAAACCGACATAGTCGACAGGCTCGGAACGTTGCTACCGCGCTCACATAGTACGTAAAGAAACCCGACTCGATGCCCGTGTGCGCTTCGTAGCTGTACTTGGTTTGTATCGATTGCAGTCCAGCAAATGACGACACATGGAACAAGCGCTTTTTAACGTTTATAGAGCGCTTTGTATCTGTTGTCGACCATATGAAGTATTCTAGGACTGCAACGGCGACACCGCGTGGTCTGCTCTGCTCTCCAGAGTGTCTTCTATCGCTGTGCCAACTATGGGCGATTCCATTTCAAACTTGATTTCGTCGAGCATGTTGTGCCAGCGTCCAGCGCGGTGCTTTCGAAATAGCACTGCGATCTTATTTCTGGCGTTTACCATTTTTGGATCGCACCTCGCCAACCCTGCACGCCTCAAACGCCGACGAGACCTCGCATTCTGTGCTCGTTAAAGCGCCCTCTACCAATGTAATAAATTTTGGCAAGTTCATTTTCAAACGCTATGTGGTCGACCTGGCGATGCCTGGTCGGCACCAGCCAAGATTAAAAACATGAAAAACATAATTCACTTGGTACACTTGGTGTTTTGAATTCTACCCGCGCAAGCGGCCTACCGAGGCATTGTGTACCTTTCCCAAGTCCCTTTCGAGCCATCGCACCGCTTGGTAGATCCAAAATGCATGCGATGACGTCGATGTGTCTCTCTGTGGTGCTTATTGCTAGCTAGCATTGCGATATGAATATATGAATTTTACCTCGATGAGTGTTGCGGATTGGAAAAAAACATTGGTTTAATTAATGGACATCGAGTCAATCGTCAACTGTTGCGAACGACTTGGCGTCTAGAACCAGCCCCCACAACGGAGCTGTGAAAAGGGACCGCAATCACCACCTAGACCCCGACCAAAGCCAATGCCGCCGCAGATCGAGCCAAAGCACTCCTTCTGGTCGCCGTTGCAGAGGTGCTGTGGTGGCTGGCCTGCCCGTTTGGTGGCGACACTCATCGGTGGCGTGTCAACAGCAGCACCAGCAGCAAAGTGCCACGACGAGCGTGAGTGCGGTGACGACAAGCTTGCATGATGTGATGGAGACGCAGAGAAAGCAAAAGTGCATGTGCATCTCTGTGTCGAGTTGAAGAAGGACAACCAGTCTCGATCTGTAATGGGATCGATCTTTCTCAGTTGCGATCATCCGTGATTTAATCGCTGAGCGAGAATTCTTCTTGTTGTGTGCATCCAACGGTGACGCGACTTCTTTTAGGTAGTCGTGAACAATTAAGGCACGAGCTCGACTTGCATGACTTGCTCACTGAGCCAGACAGTCGGAATGAGCTCGTATCTGTCTGGGATCTGGTCCAGCACGTGCGCAATCAAAATGGTGCGCAATGGCCTTGCCGTTGACTTCAAACCGAACGTGGCGGCCAAAGACGTCCCATATCGCCGTCAACGGCACGGTCATTGCGCACGTGCTGGACCAGATCCCAGACACATACGAGCTCATTCCGACTGTCTGGCTCAGTGAGCAAGCCATGCAAGTCAAGCTTGTGCCTTAATTGTTGGCTCCCTAGCCCAGATACAATCAAGAAACTGAGATCGTCTCTGGCGTGCTACGACCAGACGTACGTTTGGGATCATCTTCGCAGCCATTGGGAAACCACGCTTCGACTGTGATGTTGTCCATTGTCGTCGTCCATTGAGAGATGGGGCCGTAGCAACCGCAATTTCAGAGTAAATTCGTACATTGAACAATTATGTGGACGCCTGTCGTGATCACGTCGACGATAGACATTATTGCGCTTAGGCGCCGCACCACTTGGCGCTGGCAAACGTGTCGCACTCGGACGCGGTCGTAAAGTCACCCGAGCAGACGCCGTTTTTGAGACACCCGGTGCAAAGCTTGCTCGACGGACATCCCGCGCCGCTGACACACGCGCACGCAGCACCGAACGGACCGTAGTTGGGGCCCCACGTCCAGACGCCTTTGCAGCTATCGGACGTGATCGACGGCTGCTGGATCGTGCAGATGGGCGAGGCCCACGAGCCCTTGCACGAAGCAGCGGTTACTGGCGGGTTGCTCTTGATGCCGCTGCACGTGCCCGTCGTCCCCACCATCGAAGTCGTCGCGCCCATGGTTGTTGATGCTTGAAGGAGCAAGTGGAGTTGTGTGGGCTCCTTCTCAAGCGAGTGAATACCAGAACACCAGAGCAAAGGACTACAAAAGGAAGAACAACCAATCTTCCAAGCAAGACGACAAAAAGCAAGAGCAACCAATCTTCGAAGTGTGGTGCGCATGTCGGCGAAGCGTCCAGCATTCTGGCAACGCCCGACGAGTCACGGTCGCGCCTTTTGGTTCAAGCGTCGCACCAAGCGTCGCGTCCTTCTTGCAAAGCTTCGAAGATTGCCTCCACTTGCTTCTTGTAACTAAACTTGAAAGATTCACTAGTCGTCCTCCTTGTATCAATGCGCTACTCTATGGACACTCGTTGGAAGAACCGTTAACGCTTTCACAACTCGATTCGCTTCACCACCACCAAGAACAACCATGGGCGGCGCTACTTCGACGATCGTCGGGACGACGGGCTCGTGCATGCACATGACGTCCAACCCGCCAGTGACCGCTGCTTCGTGCGCGGGGACGTGGAACCCGTCGACAAACTTGTGCACGATCGAGGACCCGTCGTTCACGTCATCGAGCTGCACGGACAGACACGGAATGTGGATTCCCAGCAGCGGCACGTACACCCCGATCGTCCCCAGTGCAGACGTACAAG